CCCCAAAACCCCAAAACCCCAAAACCCCAAAACCCCTAACAGCGGAATTAAATTGAAAAGTATACTTAAGATAACTTTATGGCACTCACAACTTCTTGGAGGGAGTAGATAAATTTGTATTCCTCACTCATTGAAGATGCCTCTCTTGCAAATGAATCTGCAGCTGTATTTAATTCTCTTTCAATGTAATTAAACTCTATTTCTTCAAAAGATAATGCCAATTCATGAGCCTGTTTCAGTACTTCTTTCAAAACGGGATGTCTTGTCTGGATATTTCCCTTAACTTGGTCAACAACAAGAGTCGAATCACTATAAACAATGATATGCTTCTTCTGTAGTAAGGAATTTAAAATCAATGTGAACAAAAATGCAGAGTATTCTGCATAATTGTTTGTTCCTCTTCCAAGATTAAATCAGGCTCCAAACATGAACTCTCTTTCTTCAAGTTCATCTTCTACTGTGTTTACTTGAGACTGAGCTTTAATTCTTGCTCTTTCTCTTTCCTTGCTTTCTCTGAATATTTCTACCTTTCTTTCATTAGCAAGGATGTCAAAAATATTGTCAGTTCCTGAGTTATCTGTAATATCAATAATTTGATTATGAGAGTCTATTTCTGGGACAAAATCATTGGCTTTTCTACCAAAGAAGCTGATGCCCGCACCTGCTCTGCCTGGATTGCCTCTTGAACTTCCATCAATAAAGATAAGGATGTCTCTGTGAGATTGTATCAACTGACTCATTCTGTCATAGTCTTGATTCGTAATATAGAATTTAAATAGCTGATGTTTATTCTTATCCCTAGGATGTATCATGTTGTAGTTGACTCTAATTCCTCTCTTTCTCTTAATTACTTGGATGAATTCATTATCTTCAACCCTTTTATTCCCAATGAGATCTAAATCATCAGAGCAATCCTCTTCGTCTGAGGAAAGGAACTTCTCTTTGAGTTTATTTAGATCTGTATCTGACTAAAGTATCGCCTTCACTTGGAACTGAGAGCTTAGGATCTACTTTCTTAGGGTTAACTTTGTCTATGTTCTCTATATTCCCTACCATACGGACGTATTCGTCTCTTTCTGATTTAAAATTACTAACAAGGACTCTCTCCATCAGAGTTTTTGGTTTACCAATGACAGGGTGCTCATAGTCTTCTTCACTACCTTTGAGTTCTAAGGAGGGACCTAAGTTAATTTAGATACAGAACCATACCTGTTTTGCCTCCAAGAGGGTTAACCATTCTGTTAGCGCTCTCATGTTGTCGCATGATGCGCTTGACAGCATCTTCTACAACCTTTTGTTCGTCAAAATTGATTATTTCTTGGTTGAAGTAAGAGTCAAGCATGGCTTTCTTGGAGTCCAGCCTAGGCTGGCTGTCAAGTTTCTCTCCAAACTTGGTTCTAATTGGCTTTTTGAGAAAATTAAAGTTCTTAGAAGGACCTTCAGGCTTCTCAGAAGCCTGAGTGAAATTTTGGGAAGGTTGAGGAGGAGATTTTGGAATTTGGTTTAAAACTGGTTTTGAGACTTTAAAGGGTTGAGAAGTTTGCGAGGAACTTGGTGGAGATGCTAATTTTTTGGGGATGTTTTTAGGTGGTCTTGATGGCTTTTGGGATTCTGAAATTTTCGGAGCTTGTGAAAATTTAGGAGGGTTTGGTTGTTTTGAAGATTTTTGGGATTTAATGATTTTTGGTTTCGGAGATGCTTTCCTTTGAGCCTGAGATCTTATTCTTGTTGATTTTTTAGCTTGCTTATTAAAAGAATCTGCCAAATAACCATCCTCTTTATATTTATTCATTAGCCTTGATATCGTTCTATACTTATAATCTCACTATAGCCTACCCAAATTGCCTCATAATACTACCTTCTATTGCACTACTCCTCATCCTATTCATACCTATCCCCCACTTCTGACCTCCTTGGATGCCCATTCTCAAATTTTTCGGTAACACCAAAGCTCTTCTTGTTCAAAAATTTATCATTAAATTATTTCAACCATTGGTTATTTTATAGGGGTTTTGGGGTTTTGGGGTTTTGGGG